GTCTCTGTCACACCGTAAGTCTGGTCTTTTTTTTGGTGAGTTAGAATTTTGTTCTACATTTTTCTCCAGCTCTGTCCGGGACCCTGTATTGTAATCCCTGTCAGAGCAGTCAGTGGTGGTAGCTGGACACCATCTAGTTGTGCTGGGCTCAGTCTGGTGGAGGTTGTAGTACTTGTGGCCCATTAGTCCTCTGGACTAATCTTTCCCTTGTGTTTTTGGTTTTCTTCATTCGCTTTTGCTCCAGATGGGGTTAGACTAGTGGAGTATCTTAGATGGCTGCTTGCAAGCTTTTAAGTCCCCAGATGCTACTCATCAAAGTAGGATGTAGAACATTACAAAGTGTGTTATGCCAATTGAGCTAGATGTTCCCTAAGACCATGGTCCCTACAGTCCTCAGCCCACTAATTCGGTCCCTCAGGGAATTTGGATATGTTTGTGGAGCTTCCATGACCTTACCTTGGGCAAGTTGTGCTGACTTCCCCAGTATTGTGTACTGTCTTACCCTTCACTATAGTTAATACTTATTGTTTACTTAGTGTTTTTCCCTCCCCTCCCTGGTAACTATAAAAGATTGTTTCTTTTTGTATGTAAACCTTTTCATGAGTTTTTATAACTGGTCTGATACAATAGTTGTCCTTTTGTGATCGACTTATTTCACTCAGCATAATGCCCCCCCGATTCATCCATGTTGTGGGATGTTTCGCAGATTCCTCATTGTTCTTTATTGTTGGATAGTATTCCATTGTGTGTATGTGCTATAGTTTATCCATTCATCTGTTGATGGGCATTTAGGTTGTTTCCACCTTTTGGCTCTTGTGAATAGTGCTGCAATGAACATAGGCGTACAAGTCTCTGAGTCTCTGCTTTCAAGTCTTTTGGGTATGTACCTAGGAGTGGAATTGCTGGGTTATATGGTGTTTCTATTTTTTAATTTTTTGAGAAACCACCACACGGTTTTCCATAATGGCTGTGCGACTTTGTATTCCCATCAGCAATGGGTAAGGGCTCCAATTTCCCCACATCCTCATCATTTGTTATTTTATGGGTTTTGTTTTTTTTTTTAAATCTTAGCCATCCTTGTAGAAGTGAAATGGTATCTCAATGTGGTTTTGATTTGCATCTCCCTGATGGCTAATGACACTGACATCTTTTCATGTGTTTGGTGGCCATTTGAATGTCCTCTTTGGTGAAATGTCTATTCAAGTACTTTGTGCCAATTTTATGATTGGGTATTATTTATTTTTATAGATATGTATATAGTAAAGTACAAAAACAATGACTGGAATGATACATCATAATTCATGATAGCAGTCTATCTCCAGGGAGGGGAATGATACTGGAGAGATCAACAAAAGGAATTTTGAATTTATTTGTAATATTTTATTTAAATTATAAAAATTTGTTTGCAGCAAAATTCACAAAATGTTATTATTTGTTAATTTGGGTGATGTTAAATTTTCTATAGTGTTTGTTTTTTAAACTTTTGAAGGCAAAATACAAATGTTTTTAAGAGAATGAATATCTAAACAATAAAAAAGTTTATAATTGGATTTAACTTACCTGAAGCAGCATTTTTTCAGTTTGAATTTCTGGTTGAATCCTGCCTGATTTTTGGATTATCTACTATTCAAAGAAACATGTTCATCATTGTGATCCCCGAGATCATAGTTACACTGATTTTCTACAGTAATTCACAACTGAATTATTTTGACGTTAACTTGTATTACTTTAGCACATTAATTTAAAATTATTTTACTTCATACAGCTGGCAAGAAAAATGAGCAACTCCAGCCATTTCTCTCAAATATTTTCAGTATATCAGATATGCAAATATAATTATTCAAGTTATATAAGCTAATTTTTATCCTTACGATCACGAAAAGTAATTTTCCGGTGTTTGCCAAAATATCTGACTGTTAGTTTTAGAGGTCTGATAAACAAAGAAAACTTACTTAAAAAATTAAAGGGACGTACATGTTCATTTTACTTAACTCCATGTTATAGACAAGAAACTGTGACTTAAAGTCAGTTAGCTGCAGAATTAAGTCACTCCTTAACCATTATATTTTCTTCTACTTTAATTTTTAATATTTTCCATAGCTGTCCATAGCTTAATATACTGACATAAAGTGAACAGGTTTTTGCTTTCTATTGATGCCTAAGTATTTTTAAGTTCACCATCTCAACATCCTCCCACTACATAAATATCAGAAAAACTCTTAAGGAAAAATATAACTTTGTCATCACTTGAAGTTGCCACTACAAACTATTTCAGGTCAGTAGTACAGGAGGAAAAATGGAATGTTTATCTTATTTACTACATTATGGACTATTAGAAAATACTCAAAAATAATTAAGGCATATTTCTTTTCCCACTTTTGCCAGTAATCAACTTTATTGGAACTCATCTATGAATCTCCCTCGAGTTCATAAAGTGAGCCTCAATGAGAAATTATCATATTGAGCGATTATCAATTTATTATTCGTGCGTAACACAGTACCCAATACATCTCGGTACTCTTTAAATGTTTGTTAAATAAAAAATTTTGAGGATGTAAATATTAAACCCAGCGACTTGTTCCTTCTTTTGCTATTAACTCACATCAGACAAGGCATCTGTCTTTTAAGAAATAGGATAGTATCTACATCCTTGCTATTACAGGATGGTTAAGTTTTATAGTGCCATGAGGTCTCTGAAGGAATATAAAAATGGGCTTATTTTTTCTACTTTCCTAAATGGAAAATTTTTCTTCCTTGAAAACGTTTTTTTTAATTGATGTAATTAAATGAAGTTTACATTTCAAGTTAGTCTCCCATACAGAATTTTTTTTTTTTTAAACATACATTGTTATGAGACCCCAACTGCTCACCCCATTCTGCGACAGCACTCCTCCCCTCCACCCGATTCCCCATGAACATTCAACCAGCTCCTAACTCTCTCTGCCCTCCCTTCTAACCTCTGGACGGAAGCCGCCCCTTTGGTCTCTTATATCTACTTGTCTAAGAGGCACATTCTTCACGAGTATCACTTTATGTCCCACAGTCCAGTCCAATCCCTGTCTGAAGAGTTGGCCTCAGAAATTGTAAAACATTTTTTTTTCACTTTATATATATGGCAGGTATTTGACATAGAACAAACACAGCCTTCAACTTCATTTCCTTGTTTTTTGTCCTGTCCCACCTTTTCTATATCCCTTCATGTGCTCACTCAATGCTCTCCCACTTAGGGTATTAATTTTACACTTCACTTTATTCTGTTCCTGTAAAGAATAGAATCACTGTTAATACTAGCTGCAGTTCATTGAGTACTTATGTGCCAGATGTTTATCTGTCAACAGATCTCCATCCTCACAACTCTGTAATAACAGCCAAAACTTAATAGGGTGAGTACTATATACCAGGCAGTATTCGAAGTGCTTTAAATATATTAATTCAGTTAATCCTCATAACTTCTGTATGAAGTAGGTACTGCTATTATTCATTTTAGGTGAGAAAACTGAGGAACAGAGAAATCAAATAACTTGCACAAAGTCATGGTTACTAAGTGATGGAGGTGGGTTAGGAACCCAGGTAATCAACTGAGTATGTTCTTCTTAACGACTACTATATTGCCTAAGGTAGATATAACAGCATCATACAGATGAAGGAAAATTAAACTCATAGCTTAAGTAGTTAATTTAAAATTGCCCTGGTAAGTTAACTTCAAAACCTGTGCTTTTTTACTGTATCAGAAGAGGAAGTATACAATAGGGCTCTGAATCCAGAAAGGCTGGGTTTGTATCCTGGCTCTACCACTTAACAGCCACGTGACCCTGGGAAAGTTACTTCACTTTGCCAGTTTCCTCCTCTTTAAAATGCGTATAACACTAGAATTTACCACACAGGGTTGTTATGAGGAATAACGAAGTAAGTGGAAGTATACTGCATAGTAAGCACTCATAAATGTTCGCTTTTATTTCCAACCTACCTCTTTTATTTATAAGAAAACAAAAGATAATCTGGCATGTGTGCCATGATGAGAAAGCAGCTGTAGCCCAGAGGTTAAGGGAATGAATGCTCTAATTAAGCCAGCTTGGATACAAATTCCAAGCATGTGTCCTTGAGGAAAGTTAACGTCTGTGCTTCAGCATCCTCATCTGTGAAACAGAGAGCAGCATCACTTCACAAAGTTATTGTAAAGATTAAATGAAGTAATACACAACTGGTACCTGGGAAGTATTTAAGAACAAAACAGTAAGACTTCTTTTGTGCTCTCCTTCACCCAGGCCTCTCATTTTCTTCCCTGGCATACTAGTCATCCTAAGTATTTTTAAGTTCACCATCTCAACATCCTCCCACTACATAAATATCAGAAAAACTCTTAAGGAAAAATATAACTTTGTCATCACTTGAAGTTGCCACTTACCTAGTAGTAATCATACCAGAAATTTTCAGCAATGGAGTATGTGTACAAACTATTTCAGGTCAGTAGTACAGGAGGAAAAATGGAATGTTTATCTTATTTACTACATTATGGACTATTAGAAAATACTCAAAAATAATTAAGGCATATTTCTTTTCCCACTTTTAACAAAGTTTCTCTTAAGTTTTTACCACACACAATATAAAAAAAATCCATGTTATATTAAACCCATTTATTAATGTCTCCTACCCAAGCATTATGTTTAGGTAAGTGAAATGTATCACAATTACTTTATAGGCTATCTTACAAATAACATGACTGCCAAAGGTGCAGTCTCTTCACTTTAGGTGAAAAAGTTACAAAAGTGTTGTAAATTTGATTACCATTCCACGACCAGCTGTGAAATTTTTCTAGGCTAGTACTTGGCAGTATATTAGAGAACTTTTGAAAACCACCTTTCCCAAGTACCTTCATATTGCTCCCACAGTTCTTAGTATGACTTTAATATAAGGACAAACTGAGCAATAACCCAACTCAGCTTCCCTGATGAGAATTTTAAGAATTTGTTATGTATTATATATTAATACAAGCACCTCGCTAGTTTAAAAAATTTATTGATTCAAAATTATTGCCAAAAAGCATAAGCTAAGCAAAAAAATTTATTTAAGTTTAATGCTCTTTTTAACTCCTGCACGGATGCCAGATAATTCACCACTATAACGTTGCACTTCTCTATGAACTTCACGAACCTGGCCTCTTCTGCGAATTTTGGCTCTTCTGAACTTCTCCCGGTGTTTCACTCTGGGATTGCGATCTATCTTCTTTCTCCTAGGTGTAAGTCCTCTATTTTTAGCAATCTGATAGGTAATGGCTCTCTTTGCATTTTGATCTTCAAGAGCCTGTTCTTCAGTGCTACTTTCTTCTTTCTTTCTCTTCAACTTTTGCCTGTCTTCTATTTCTTTATAGTATTTCAGTGCAGCTTCTTTATCAAAATTGGAATCATCAGAAAGATCTGTAACATCAGAGGCAGCAGCAGAAGTCTCTGAAACAGACTTTGGCTTGGCCTTCGTGGATTTTACTTTTAGATTCAGTTCTTTCTTTCCAGTATCATCCTTAAGTGTGAGGAGATGACGAATTTCGGAGGACAGCCTCTGATCCACAACTGACAGCTTGTTGATCAAATTTCTGTAGGTAACAAGCCTTTCTATGACAGGATGTCCATGTGCAGGGACTCTCCGAGCTTTCAGGATCAAATAAAAACTAATGTTGGAACAGTAATTCAAGTAGAGGTTGTACTTGGTCTTCAGGTATTGACTTCCTTTGCCGGGGGGAATGATTCCTTGTTCCACCAACTGTAGCAATGGCTCCAGCTCATCCTTTACCTCTGTCAACCTTACTTTCAAGTCTTCTATCAATTCCAAGAGCTCTGGTGATTCCTTCCGCAGCATCTTCAGCTTCTCTTTCACTGAAACTTTCGTCAAATCCTTCACGACCCGTGTCTCGGCCTCATCTACCTGGGTCACCGGTTTTGCAAAGGCCTCCACCCAGGTGACTCCAAAATCATCCTCTTGAAGGGCTTGGGTTAGGCGCCGCTGGATGAGCTGTGCCTCCTCTTCCTCCTCTCTTTCTTCCTCCTCTACCTCTTGTTGACTCTGCCGGCCTCGGGACTTGGGGGCATAGTCCGTGTCATAGTAAAGTTTCTTCCTCTGGCCCCACGACAAACTGGGATCCACAGAGGCCTCAGTCTCGCTCTCCACGGAGCTCCCACCACCATCATTATCATCGCCATCCTCCTCATCTCCCACACTCTCACCATCTTCGTCGTCCTCATCGTCAATATCTAGGCCTAGCACCTCCTCCTCCTCCTCACCATCCTCCTCGTCGTCCCCACTGTCTAATTCGTTCCAGCCCATAGTCAAGGCGGCCCTGGATCGTGCCTCATGGAAATCATCTACCTGATCTTGGTAGTAGCTGGAATCGCCAGGTGAGGGTGGCAATTCGCAGTCGTCTTCATTTTCGTCCGCCGGAGTGCGCCCTGAATTGGCTCGCACAGTTGCCCACTTGGCCGCTGCACGCCGCCGGGATCTCCCAACCATGTCTCACACGCGGTATCAGTTATTATACCAACGCTGGGGTTTCGGCCGCCTTGATCTTGGCGCACGCACCACACGCTTCAGCGACACGCCGTGTGCTAGCCGGCCACGCGAGCTTCCAGGCTCTCCCGTCGGCTCCAGGCGCTTCCGAATCCTTCAGGCTCCCAGGGTGCTCTTCGGGAAGCGTGTGAACCAAGACTTCCGCTCGGTTCCGTAGACCTAGTATGTTAAGGGGGCCTTCTTTTTTGCTGTGGCTTTTAACGACAATTACTTCCGGTGAATTAAAACTCTCCGTGTAGAAACTATAGAAGTAGAAAGCTCCGTTCCACAGAGTCCTTTCCGGAGGCTTCTGTTCTTATTCTCGCGAGCCTGGGCGTGGCTGGCGGGGAGTGGGATCACGGCGGAACCGCAAGGCGAGAACGCGGAGGCCCGTAGAGGGCGCGCTACCACTACGCCTAGGCGCGGCCCGGGAGAGGAGGGCGGGTAGCCAAGTGAGTTATACTGCGCATGTACGGGGATCCTCAGCTTGTCAGAAGTGTGTCCTGGTATGTATAATGTACCTGCTTATTGGATTTGTTTTATTTCCTTCCCTATCAGTCTTGAAGTTAATCAGGTTATTTTTCTCACTCCCCCCACCCCCCCAGCCCCCAACGTCCAATAACCACGTTTCTGCGGACCACAGCCTGAATGAAGGCAGGGCGCCGCCGCTGGACCCTAGAATCCAGGCTTTAGCGTACAGGTGTGAGCGCTTGCTGCGGGGGGGCGGGGTGGTGGTGTCTTGGTGATGTTAGCGCATCTCCATCTCCCTGCCTGTAGGGCTCAGTGACTCCAGGGGATTTGTATTTTCTAGGTGTCCCCGAGGGGTGACAGCAGGGGCGAATTAATCTAACAGGCAAGGTAAGCAGGTTGTTTACCAGATCATCTGTAGTGAACAAGTTCACGTTTTTTCACCACATCAACGACTCTGCCTCTAGGTATGCCTGGCATCTGTCTCTCCCAACCCCACAGCACCTTCTTACAGAATTAAAGCCTCTTTTCAAATTTATGATCCCTGACAGGGACGGATGACCCAGTAAGCAAGGTAAACATAGGCTTACTTGTGCTTGCTCACTAATCTGTAGTGAACAATTTCAGGTGGGTTTCACTGGTAAAACCTATATGGTAGATTAAGAAATTTTAGAAGAACTCAGTTATGTATATCTTCAAGATGCAAAAACTGAAGCATTTTAAAGCCATCACAAGATATTTAGCAAATACAATTTAATGATTAAAAAAAAGTGTTGGTGAAAGTCTTAGGTTCTAATGCTAAGCATGAGATTCGTTTCTGAATGTAAATTTTAATAGATATCTTTGCTCAGCAAATATTCTTCTATCTGTAGCAGGGAGTCCCTGGGTGGCGCATACAGTTAAGTGCTTGACTACTAGCCAAAAGGTTGGTAGCTCAAAACCACCCAGAGGCACTTGGTAAGAAAAGCCTAGTAATGTGCTTCTGAAAGGCCACAGCCTTGAAAACCCTATGGAGTGTAGTTCTGCTTTGCACACATAGGGTCACCAGGAGTTGGAACTGACTTGACAGCAACTAGTATATATATGTATGGTTTGAAAATACAGATTTTCATTTCTAATGCAGTGTGTAAACATAACTGTAATTTGGTACCTTTATAAACTGGAGAAGATGTGACAGTCAACCTTAGATAAGTCCTCTTGTATTTGACTCAGCAGCTAACAACAACAAAATCTGTAGCAGAATACTACATACTGTGGCTGATCAAAAGATGAATTAACTGTAGTCTATCCCATCAAGTAGTTTATCATCAGGCAGAAAAAAGATGCATATAGAGTACGAAAATACAAGACATAAATCCAGTGCTGTGAGATCAAAGCAGTAAGAGCTCACTTCTCTATTGTTATTCTGGGAATATTTGACAAAGGTTTCATCTAAATTAGGACTGTAATTATATCTCTGTTTTAAATGTATTGCATTTTCAATATCTAAATATTAAGTTTTATTTAGGTACAAAGCAAACACCAGTTATTATTTGTGTTTATTGCATATGATTTGAAAATTTAGAGTCATATATCAGGACCAAAATGCATATATTATTATAGATATGTTAGAATAATTTTTTAGATATTTTTCAATGGGAATGATCACATTGCTCTAATATTATTTTGTTAGTTTATACTAATCATTGCATTTCCTATGTTTTTCTATCCTATTCAGAATAGAGTTGCAATAGGCATTATGTATTCAGAGAGGGTTGTATTCTAACATTCTCAGATCTTTTTGATAAAGAATAGTTCAGAAGTCAGTTCTTCAATTCTAGCAGCTCCTTTATATACCCTTTCATAGTTTAATCTTAAAATGATTTACTGCTTAGGTAAGGAAAATTTTTTCTTGAAACTTTGTATTGCTGAAAAGATGAATTAATAGCTTTACTTTATCATAAGCCTAGGCCAATTAAAGGGAAAAACGCTGAGTCCCCAGAGAAAATGAACAACTATTGAATAATATTTGACATTTTACTATCATTTTTGTTGAAACTCCAATTTATCATCATTTTGAATCCTTATTACATTATTGTTATGCTGTTTCAGGAGTTAGCAAGTTACACATAAAAAGGGCCATAGGTTCTTTTAAGAATACCGTTTTTGCCTCACTCTAAGCCTAGGGCTAAGGTGTGCCTCACTCTAGGGTTAAGGTGTGCCTGACCCAAGCTTTAGTGTTTTCGGTTGCTTCATATGCATGCAAAAGCTGGACAATGAACAAGGAAGATTGAAGAAGAATTGATGCCTTTGAATTATGGTGTTGGTGGAGAATATTGAATATACAATGGACTGCCAGAAGAACGAACAAATCTGACTTGGAAGAAGTACAGACAGAATGCTGCTTAGAAGCGAGATGATGAGACTTCGTCTCACGTACTTTGGACATGTTATCAGGAGGGACCAGTCCCTGGAGAAGGATATCATGCATGGTAAAGTAGGAGGTAAACGTAAAAGAAAAAGAGGAAGACCTTTAATGAGATGGATTGACACAGTGGCTGCAACAACAAGCTCAAACATAGCAACAATTGTGAGGATGGCACAGGACCGGGCAAGTGTTTTGTTCTGTTGTGCATAGGGCCGTTATGAGTCAGAACTAACTTGAAGACACCTAACAACAACGAGAAGCCTTTTAGGGGATTTTCTTACTGTGGAAGTAGGGTCTGCGAATGGCACTGTAGGTGTTATTAGGATGCTTCCTTCAGGACGTGTATTCTGGGTGATGAAGGTATTCCACAACCACATTAGCTTAAAGTGATCTCTATTTCTTCCTGGACTGTTGCAACAACAACAATAATAGTAGCTAACTCTGAGAGTGGTTATTATATGCCAGGCACTGTTAAAAACTCTTGACATTCAACTCTCTAGGAAGGTACTATGGTAATCTCTAATCTAGAGATGAGGAAACTAAGGAACACAGAGCTTAAATGAGGGTATAAGGCTAGTAAGTCATAGAAATAGTTTTGAATGCAGTTAGTCTGGCTCCAGAGTTCACATTGTGTTATAAGTAACTACATACCATATTGGCTTTCAAATATTCCCTTAATAGTGCTTCACATTTCCAGTACATCTGTAGTACATTTGATCCAGCATCATCAGGTGTATCTTCTTAGAGTGCTCTTTCCATCAGCCCACACCTTGGCTCAGAAACCTTCAGTGGCTCTCAGTTGAGTGAACTATTAAGATAAAGTTCACAGCATACATGACCCTCCCACTGTCTGGCCTCAAACAATCTTTCCATCCATACCTTTCATTATTCCTCTATGAAAGCCTTTCCTTCTTTTTTTAAATTTACTTTAGATGAAGGTTTACAGAACAGTTTCTCAGTAGACAGTTAGTACACATATTGTTTTATGACATTGGTTAACAACCCCACGACATGTCAACACTCTCCCTTCTCAACCTTGGGTTTCCTATTACCAGCTTTCCTGTCCCCTCCTGCCTTCTAGTCCTTGTCCCTGGGCTGTTGTGCCCCATTAGTCTCGTTTTGTTTTATGGGGCTGTCTAATCTTTGGCTGAAGGGTGAACCTCAGGAGGG